TTGCTGTGTTATACTTTATTTAGCAATCATTTCCCCCCCAGCTCACAGTTTCCCTATAGTCGAGTACTAACCGTTTCCTCTTGAGATCTAGCTATGCCAGACAGTAATGGATATAATTATAACATACGTTAGAAGATACATAGAGTTATCACTCACATTAACCAGTAATGTGCTGTGTAAATAATCAATGTATTGCTTAGCTATTTATAACAGAAGATTGTTTCCACACTAAGTGTCATTTTCTTTTCTTGATTAATAACCATGACAGGATTAAACAATAGGTACCTAGGTACTTGGCGCTACCTTGAGGCGGTACAGACGGCTGCCTTAGAGCACCCCATCAAGAGTGGAATTCAGTATCCTAGGATACATGAAAAGTGAAAGTTAATCTTTATTTCATATGTTGCCGAAACTGCATTAAATTGAATAAAAATTGTTCCCTGGTGGTCTGCATGATCTGCACCTACACCTTGTGCAGACAATATTAAGAGCTCCCTCTTGATTCTGGCTAACTGTGAGTTTGCACTCTAAATCCTTCACAGAGCACAGGACCAGAAAAATTGATTAATTTAATCTGCACCAGAAAGAGGTGCGGACCATGCGCTCCACCACAGAACACCAGGATTTCATCATCATCATCATTAATCTGCATCCACTGGATCACCAGGAAAAATAGTTCCCCTCCACCTGCTGGACCACCAGGATAGATATCCCTCTGCTGGACCAACAAGAATGTAGCCCCCTACTTGTACAAAAGTTGAGCAGTCAATAGGCAAAACCTTTTTATTTTAAGTAAACACCCACCACACACAGCCAACACACGCATATCACACACAACCATCACACCTATCACACATAGCCACAAACCACACATATCACCGACAATCAACACCATACACAGTCATAAAATACAACACATATGCGTCAAGCACATCACACTACATGACATTATTGTGAGTATTTCTCACAGTTTAGCTCTGTGATACTGTGATACAAAATGCACATTACTCTGTTTATAGCTGGGAAGCTATGATACACTGCAATGTATATTACTGGTAGTGTTAATGTGGAGGAGCTCTGTGATAAACTGAGACACTGTAAGTAGTTAAACAAATCCAATAGTGGAAGGGACAGGGGCAATTTATTGTGTTCATGATCAAACCACAGAAGCATTAACTATTGGGTATACTTATATTAGTTGGGACATATACAGAAACAAGTTTAGATGTCAACTAAAAGTTAGAGAAGTCATGACTCATATACTAGTGTATTGAATGTGTTCTCATAATTATCCCAAATGTCAACTCTTGCAAGTGTATGAATCCTTGAAATGTGTGCAGGAAACCAAAATGTAAAGCAATTGGACATATTTACTATGTCTGCTCAGATAATTGAGTGCCCTTGAGAAGCTCCTGGTCAGCAAACCCATAGTATTTATGATGACACATCCCTGAGAAGAGAAGAAAGAACACGATCAAGATGACCAGGCCTATAAAAAGGATGAAAGTCTTTTTTTGCTTAAAGTATTGGCTGGTTAGAAGCCTACCTCGTACACCTCCACGTAATTATCCGTAGAATCAAATGAGATCATAACAAAGGCCTCAATACCATAAGCTTTCCAAAATATTCAATAATGTTAGAAAAACTTGACAAATTATTTATCTACAGTATTCACAATTAATAAATATGGGAATTTTGTTGATACATGATTTGGACATTTTTCTAATAGTGTTGAATCATTTGGAAAGCTGATTATTTTAATGCAAACATAAGACAGCATCACAGTAAGAAGGTAATATAATGTATTATGTCTAGATTCCTAACTATAATTCTCTACAGCAGGGGTAGGCGAGCTTCAGCACTTCCGATGTTATGGACTACATTTCCCATAATGCTCTTAGAGCCATAATACTGGAAATATTTCAGGACAGATGTAGTACACAACATCTGGAGTGTCAAAGGTTGCCTACACCTGCTCTACAGCATGTAAGTGATGCATGCACATATGTGGGAGTTGCTGTATTTTTTCCACTATGGCTTTTAATATCTAAGACAGCATTCAGCAGTATTCAATATCCACATCATTGAACTTTAAGAATATTCTGAAAAATTATATAATAGACTTATTAGAATATTGTTAAAATATTTTCCAAAGTGCTATATAATAACAGTTGTAAATTATGCACCTATTGTATGACTTCATGACTTGCTGTTGGGAAAAAGTTCTTAATGAGATTTTGTGCAATAGCAGCACAATCTATTATTTTAGTTCAACAGAGAAAGAGGAGACCCTTGAAACAAGGGGGTCCTAGAGTGTAGCTCAGAAAACACAGAGGTACCCTTAATCTAGATATATAAACCAGGTATGAGGGGGAGGGAGGGAGGAGGTGGGGATAGGTAAGGGTAGCTTAGTACTAGAAGGAGGGCATAGACAGACAAAGTATAAGGATAACAGGTCCCAATAATGACTGTCATTCACCCCCACCCTCTAGAAATCTCAAAGGAGTATAAAGAAAAACTCCAACCCACAGTAATGAGCCCCCCTCCACACATACAAAATAAGGTAGGACATGGGTAGATCCAGGTGATAACAGCCTCACCTAAACATAAGGAAAACTAGCCCTAATGGTACTGCTGTACCTGCAAGAGCTGCACTGGATCCACTTGACCCATAAACTCCCCTGCACCTGGCAAATGTAGTACTAAAAGTAAATTAACCTAAATAAAAGCATAAGAACCCTGGTGCCAACAAGTGCTACCTAGTGAAAAAACAAAAAAATCTATGTGCTCGACGCATGTTTTGGCATATCTACACGCTGTCGTCAGGAGCTAAAGAAACAAAGCGTCCGAAATACTGGTATTTGTATACCCCATGTGTAATGAGAATCGTGTTCAGCTGTTGTCCTGCAGCTTGGCCCTACCTATACTCTTTTTATTTACTATTGTTTTAGTTCAGTAATGTGTATATATATATATATATATATATATATATACACACATACATATACACACATACACACACACACACACACACACACATAGTTCATTCAATCTGCAGTAATACTTAAATAGTTGAAATAATAAATACATCACAGTTAAATTTATGATGTATGGGTATGAATCATTTCCTTACATAAAACAGATAGGAGACTGTGTACTGTTGTGTGTCAATTGTGTTCACACACAAGCAATGCAGTACTAATCTATAATAATTATTACAACAGGTTTTGTTTGTTCCTTGAAAGATAGTGTCACATTCCATGACTGATTACACTTCTGTGTTTGGGATGACATCTTACATGTTGTTGACACAGACATCATTATGATGTCATACTATTAGAACAGTGTTGTAGTAGTTTTATTGATGTAGATAGGAGTAGAATGTTGCTTGACCAACCAGTATTAGCTGAACAACTTTAACAGCATGTACGTGAGTAAAATGTACAGACAGCCCTGTCCACAAAGCATTTATTCAAAATCCATTGAGTTAATGTAGATAAAATAAGTTTTTATGATAACAAAGATAACTGATCGGGTAGACAGTTTTATTATACATGTCTGAAATTGCTTAGAACTGACATAGGCCTTGATTTAAAATTGTTGGATATGCTTTCCAAAAGGTTTAATATTTTTACATAAACATTTAAAATTATTTAATGTTATGATTTTAAAATATTTCCATATTATCTAATATATTGATTTTTTTTATATATGATGTATGTTTTGATATTTGAATATGTTCAAAAATCATTTAAAAAAAAATGTATCCCAAAAAATTAAATCAGTTGAAAAGCTTATCCAACAATATTAGATCGAGGCCATAGTTAGCAAATCTGTTTATTGAAAGGTATTTATGAGCTTTGTTATATGGGATTTCAAGGCACACAGGCCCTAAATACTGGTTTGCATGTACACTCATATGTGCTATACAATTTATCACAATATTTTTCATAGGCCATGAGGATAGTAATTGCATTTTGTAATTATTGCTGGTCATTTGCAATATATGGTGATGAAAAAGCAATATATTGTTTAATGTACTCCTCAGATATTATAAACCTAAAGAGTGTATATTGTAAAGTTTGGCTCAAACTTCAACTTCAAAATAAAAGTAAAAAAAAAACCTATTAAATACTCTAAATCTGAAATTATAGATACTGTAAGTCTTAAAGCTTTGACAATAACCTGAACATTATGGGGGTTATTTATAAAAATTATCACATTCACATGCACCATATATCAAAAGGCATGCAATGGGGTGGATGCTGCCACCCTCAGGGCCGCCATCAGGGGGTGACAACCATGACTGTTGTCATGGGCCCTGAGGGGCCCATGCACACCCATATATATAGCAAGTATTGGTATATATATGTGTTTTGGCAGTGGCAGAACTACCTGAGGGGGCCCATCGGGTGGTCCATGCACTTAGGGCCACCCGATGGGCATATCTCTAAAGGGGCCCGATCAGTGCTGTGGATTTTTCAATAGCTAGACTGAGCCCCTTTAAGGATCCTGGCAGTGCTGGGAGGAACACCCGCGCGGGAGGAAACACTGGGGAGTGAGAGGAGGAGAGAGCCAGACTCACATCAGTCCCAGCCAGCAGAGTCCACCCTCCTGCAGCCAAAAGGTAAGAAACAGGAGGTGGTTTAAAAAAAATAAAAAAAGTGTCAGTGTGTATGTATCTATGTGTACCAGAGTGTTTGTGTGTATCTGTCAGTGTGTGTGTTTGTATATGTGTGTCAGTGTGCACCTGAGTGTATGTGTGTGTATCTGTGTGTATCTTTGTATCTGGGTGTCAGTGTGCACCTGTGTGTATCTGTGTATCTATCTCTGTGTGTGTGTGTGCATATCTGTGTTTGTGTCTGTGTATCTATCAGTGTGTGTGTATCTGTGTTTGTGTCTGTATCTATCAGTGTGTGTGTGTATCTGTGTTTGTGTCTGTGCATCTATCAGTGTGTGTGTGTGTGTGTATCTCTGTTTGTGCCTGTGTACCTATCAGTGTATCTATCAGTGTGTGTATCTTTGTGTTTGTTTGTATCTGGGTGTCAGTGTGCACCTGTGTTTATCAGTGTGTGTATTTTTGTGTTTGTTTGTATCTGGGTGTCAGTGTGCACTTGAGTGTATGTTATGTTTTTTTACACAGACCTGTAGTCTTTTGTTTTATTATATTTCATTATTTTATAGCAGTGCTGCAGCTTTTATGTTCATGCTTTCTAGTGACTGTATTTGATTTTTATACACACTTTTTTCGCCACAATCCTTTTCACTATTTAGTTGATATGCCCCATTTTTTGCTTTAGTTGGGTTCTATTTAACAGTTTTGATCAGATTGTTACTGTTGGTGTTGGTAACTTTGTTGCAATGTGAATCTTTTCTATTTGATGCTGACTGCTTTTTGATCTTTACATACAGAATGCAACAATTATCAGTCACGTTGTCTACCTTTTTATCTTGCACATCCCATCTGATATTTTATTATGTGCATGACCCACTTTCTTTTTTTTTTTTTTTTTAATTGCTGGAGCGCTCACACTATCTTTGTTTTAAGAGATTCTCAACTAAAGTTAATTTTATTTGGTGTAAATCCCATAGACTTTATTGTTTCTCTACTTTGTAAACCATATATTTTGGTTTTATGTGTATGAATATATATATATATATATATATACATATATATATATATATGTGTGTGTGTGTGTGTGTGTGTAGCTGTATGTATCTGTGTCAATGTGCATCTGAGTGTGTGTCTGTGTGTCTGTCTGTATCAGAGTGTCAGTGTATGCATCTGAGGTGTATGTGTGTCTGTATGTATATGTGTGTCAGTTTACACCTGAGTGTGTATCTGTGTGTGTGTGTCTGTATATTTGCATGTATGTCAGTGTCTGTATCTCATATGTATGTGCATGTATCTGTGTCATTTGGCATCTGTGTGTGTTTGTGTATCTGTGTGTGTGTCTCTATCTGTGTCAGTGTGCACCTTTAGTGTGTGTGTGTAAGTATGTGTCAATGTGTGATTCTGTGTGTGTGTATGTGTGTGTGTGTGTCTGTGTATTTGTATGTATGTCAATGTGTGTATGTGTATGTGTGTGTATACACTACACACAAATGCACGCCTGCATTCAAACACCAAAATTCACATACATACTCCTTACAAAAACATGCTTACATTTTAACACATACACTGCTGAGTGCTAAATAAAGCCCTGCAAGAATGGGCAAATTGTAGATCCACAGCTAGCAAAGCATTCTGGGACTTGTACAACAGATGCTGATCTACATTTTGGCCACTTTACATACACTGCATCCACTAAACACACTTGACTACACACTGCATCCTTGTTGGCTGAGTTAGGGGAGGGTTCTGTGGGCGGAGTCATGGGTGGGCTCCGGGGGCAGCCCTGGCCACCCTGTTCATGTTTTTTATATTGACATTAAAATGTATATTGACTTCCAAAATTGATACCTTGCAAGATCACACCTTTCTCTGTGTATTTCTCCTCTTCAACAGTAGCTTCCTCTTCATTCTGATAGTGGCTTATATCTTATTCAATTTGCTGTGTTATTCTAAATCAAAGAAGGGAAGTACTCCACATTTAACACATACACACATACACAAGCACGAACAGTTTTTTTGCTTGAATGATAGTCATCAAGGCAAGTTTATGGGGAACTGTCATTATTCAAATAGGGAACAAACCAGAAATGCAGAGAGTGCTACAATAATCCATTACCATCTACCGCAAACCAGAACAAAAGGATTTGGACAGCTTAGAAGATCTTCTCGGACTTAATTGTCTTTGATAAAGACTAGACCGATAAGGATTGTCATCATCACTACAAGTAGTTATCAATGAATCACAAAACATTCACCCTAAAGCCTAGAGTTCAGCTTATATGATTGCAAAACATAGCTATCTGTAATGTGATGTTTTCAGAGTGCAAGGCAAGCATTAGTTCACTTCTCCATAACATTGTGTGGATGTAATTCAAAGCATACAATGTTATCTGTCTGGTCCTTATATTATGTAATATATTTGGAATGCCACAAGTCTTTCCATTATTATGCTAGCATGTATGTAGAATGGCCCTTTTACCTTCTAGACTTGTAGTTGTTGCAATTAAGATACAGTATATGCCGGATGTATGGTTAAACTGAACTTGCTGATATCAGAATGTGTTTTTGATAATTGAAATAGCTATGCAATAATTACAAGTTGCTGGCCATGAATTGCAATTTAAAGATTGTAAGCTTGTCTGAGTCTCATTTATTGTTAAATTTCCCCTTTATATTATTGTAAAGCTCTGCGGAATAAGTTGGTGATATAAATATGATAATAATAAGAAGAAGAATGCGTCATGTTTTATTAAGGCTAATTTTTGCTATTTGCCTTTTACAGATAAACATTGCTTATTTTGTTAAACTGAAGTGATATGTTTGATTATTTTTTTTTTTTATGACAATCACTGTGATTGTCATGTTACATAACTATTAAGCATTTTGCCTAAAATTAAAATAAACAATTTAATTCCAAAATTATTAGCATGGAAATATTGTAGTGCCAATATTCTTCTCGTTTAAATATTAACAACATTTCCACATATCTGATCCAGTCCTTTGACAAGCAGTATGAATACAACCTAATTAACAGAATAAAGTATATACAAAGTGTTATCACAGTGCCAGCTACCCTGCTGGAATATGTACAGAGACAAATGGGAAATGACTAATTAAAACAAAGCTGTTGACACATTGTTGCCAAAATATTAAATAGCTTAATCTAATACAAAAACATAATTTCTTAGGCCATTTAAAAACTTCAATATATTGTGTGACTTGAGGGGGGTCAGAAATCTAAAGATTTGATACTAACACATTTATTTATACAATTTTCTAAAAATGCATTTTTAAACAATAAATAAAATTTAAGACATCAAGTAAATTAATTAGTTGTCTTCTCTAGACCATCATATCTCAAATTGAGGACTACAATTTGTGGATGGAAGTGAAGGGGGACCTGAGTCAATTATGCTCCACAATTTCACTTTCAAGTATAAATAAAGTAAAGGGTACTCCACAATTGGTTGTCTTCTATGTTTGCATAGCAGGCTATACCAAATTTGCATTATATTAAATTAGCTATGCCAGCTGGGCTGCCCTGTAATGCACAAGGAGATTAGCCATTGAATTTGAAAAGGGTTCTAGTCTAATAATAATTGTTTGTATAAACTTGCAAGGGGTCGGGGCAGTGCCATCTTAACAGCATTATAGGCCCCTAGGCAAAGTAGTTTACATGGTGCCCTGTCTACACAGCCACAGAAATGAAAATGTAAATTATCGATGAAATTAAGCTTATATTGGTACCTCCAAAAAAGTCCCTCTAACAAAGTCAGTGTTTAAACATTACAAAAACATGCTGTACAGCAGACACTAATCCACACAAACTTTACGCAGGTAGCAGGGAGAGACAACTGACATGGACTATTAAAAATATTAAAAGAACTTTATTATAGCTTCATGGCTTCAAAAATTGCAAGTATTGATTTTGTCTTGCTTATGTACAATTAATATGGGTATGTTGTTTTTGTCAAAGTCAACATGTATGTATTTGCAACAGCAAGATCGCATGTAGAGAGAAAAGCTGATAGGTGATCAGTCCATCTAAATGCTTTAATAAAGAGGGTTTAAAGGTTCTGAATAAATCTCTAAGAATATAATACTGAAAAGTTGGCATGCCTATGGGTCCCTATTCTCCTGGGGCCCCTGGGCAACTGCTCAGTGTGCCTAGGCGTTAAGACAGCACTGGGTTGGGGAGTTAGTTTAATGTATACAGAGCAGATCTAAATGCTGTAAACTGCAGCCACAAATTATGTTGGGAGGAGGGATTTTTTTAATGAAATTAACCCCCTAGTGACCAGACCGTTTTTCAATTTCTGCGGTGTTTGTGTTTAGCTGTAAGTTTCCTCTTACTCATTTACTGTACCCACACATATTATATACACTTTTTCTCGCCATTAAATGGTCTTTCTAAACATACCATTATTTTCATCATATGATGATTTTTTTTTTTTAAACACACTTTTTCTAATAGAAACCACAGCACCCCCCTCTACTAAATTCCACTCCCCCCTACTAAACCACAGCACCCCCCTCTACAACCCTGTGCCAAATCTGATCCTCCCACTACTTTTTGAAACCCTGTGAAGGTGGAGCATGTTGATGTCACGTGGCATTGCGTGCATCCATGCAACTCCAGGTACTCCACTGTCCAGTCGCAGCCAATGCAACACTGACCAACACACACACACAGACACACAGACAGACACAGACACACACTCACTGACAGACAGATGAACAGACACATATTCACTGACAAAACACACATTTAAACATTCTTGCACTAACATCATTAAAATTATTGTTCCCTACCTTTGGGAGCTAGTGTGGGGATTTTCTGTCTGGTGACCTCCTTCCTAATCCTTACTGCTCCCTCGCACGGTTTAGTGATGCCGGGTGCCGGAATATGACGTCATATTCCGGCGCACTGCTTCACTACAGATGGCGAGCACGAGGGAGCAGTGAGGAGCAGGAACACTGAGCTCTCTCGCTCGCCCTCCTCCCCAGCCGGGTAAGTGTTAGCAGAGTAGGCACCTGCAATGTGGGGAAAGCAGGTGCCTACTCTGCTATAACACCATATACTCATGGCTTGTCGGGCTGCAAACTCGGGGAGCTATTTGAGGCTTGATAAGTGTGCTTCCTTTGCCAGAAATCAGCAGTTAGCAGGCTCTCTCAGGCAATGGCTCCACCCTCCAGTATTATTTTTTTATATTATTAGAATATATTTATATTATGTTATTATTTTCAGTTGAATTTTGGGAAACCACTTTAAGCATTCGTTGTGTTGAGCTATTTTAATTGCTGTTTGATTTGTTCATTGCTGAAAATCTGTAAATTTTGATAATAAACCTGGTTTTCAATGGGTGTTAAATAATACTCTAAGTCTATGTATCAATACTCTATCTTTTAGTGATATTTGCTTGTTTCTAAGAGGAAATGATCACTGAGAAGACTGCAAGGTAGAAATGTGTTTTCTTTTTTCGTTGTACAGTGTGGGTCAAAATTCAGAGTAGGATTTTACAAGTAAATTACTTAAGTGTTAGTAGTTCAGTTATGCAGGCAAATATAATTCTTGGGAGTGTTATCACGGGTCATTTCACAAAGGAA